CGTGGCCTGTGGGATCTTCCCGGACCAGGGCTCAAACCCGTGTTCCCTGCATTGGCAGGCGAATTCTTAACCACTGCGCTACCAGGGAAGCCCCAATTTTGTAAATTTTGAAACTGAAACCGAGCAGGACCCTGTGGGACCCTCTCAGGTACAAATCCTTTGTGTGTCCTCCATTTCTCGTTTGTAGGAAATAGGCTTCATTCAGCCTCCTAGACTTTCCCTTAGTTCCAAAGAGCAGATTCAAACAGTTGCTAATCGGGGAAAGTGAGGGAATGCAGAAACAAAGGAGGAGCAATCAAGAAACAGTAGTGCAGCTATTAAAGCAGGGTCCTGGTTCCTCCTCAAGGGATATACATAACAGTATCTTTGAATTCTTCTGCAGTAACTAAGGCCTCCACCCAGGTGCAAGATGGTAACTATACATGCTGAGACTCCAGACTGGTTGAAACCAGAAAGCTGATGATTGACAATCCTGTAACACCCCCTATTACCTCACCACCAACCAATCAGAAAACAGTTACACACCCTCCAGCCCTCACCCCAAATTTTGCCTATAAAATCTTCTCCCTGAAAACCACTGGGGAGTTCGGATTTTTTGAGTGTGAGCCACTGGTTCTCCTTGCTTGGCCATGCAATAAACCTTTTGTAACAGGGAAGAGCAAATTCTGACTCCGTGTTGGTTCTGTTTCTTTTACTTTAACCTTTGCTTTTCGTTGCTTTTGCTATTATAATCACTGTCTATAGCCATAAGCATACATAATGGCCTGCCACAGGGAACCCTGTCCCTCTGCCTGACTGTTAAACTAAAAGGCCTTTGTTCAGCTCACAGAGAGACATTCTGACCCTGCCCACCTGCGAATGGCTGCAGAAAAGAAGAAATTAATACATCCCCTCCCCAATGAGGGCCAAGTGAGGAGATATTTTGCAAGATAAATGGCCTTTTTACTTTACTTCCTCACCTCCTCCCCCTCTCTGTTCTATAAAAGAAACGGGCATCCAGACCCCAGTAAGATGGTTTTTTGGGTACACTAGTCCACCATCTTCTCGGTCTGCTGGCTTTCTGAATAAAGTCGCTATTCCTTGCCTCAACACCTGTCTCCCAATTTATTGGTCTGTCGTGTGGTGACCAGAGTGAACTTGGACTCAGTAACACTTTCTCTGACCCAAACTGTGGCATTTCAGTTTGTTTGGCCTCACTGCGTGTCAGGCACACAAACTAGTGTTCGGTAATAAAACTTCATTGGGTAAGAGAAATACTGAGTACTGACCCCCAAAAGGCTAATATATACCAATAAGGAAATTGTGAGTTTACATTCAGCCCTAGATCTACAAAAAGGAAAACATTTCACTTTTAAATAATGAAAAAGTTATTCAAATACATAGAAACAAACTCTCATCTTAGGCTTCACTTTTCTAACTCTATAAACTGAAGCTACTACAATTTAAATATCAAGTTTTTTTTAACAGCTATAATGAGTACAATTTACACACTATGTAACTGACCACTTAAAGCATACAATTCAATGGCTTTTAGTATATTCACAGAGTTATGCATCCATCACCATAATCAATTTTAGAATATTTCCAATACTCCAAAAAGAAACCCAGCACCGCTTAGCCATCATCCCCAATCCCAACATTTCTCTCCTCCCCTGGCAGCCCTAGGCTACTACTAATCTACTTTCTGCCTCTGTGGGTTTGCTTATTCCATTTCATATAAATGGAATTATATGATAAGCAGTTTTTGTGACTTCCTTCTTTTCCTTAGCATAATGTCTTCAAGGTTCAAACGTGTTATAGCATGTATCAGTATGGATTCTTTTTATTGCATTGCATTGACATGCCACATTATATTTATCTATTCATCAGCTGATGGACATTTGGGTTGTTTCCACTTTTTGGCTATTTATGAGTAATGCTGCTATGAATATTCATGTACCTAATTTTAAACTTAAGTAATTCTTGCTTTAGGGCTTAGATGCATCCAAGGAAAGTGAGTATTAAACAAAATTTTCTTTATCAGTGATTGCCACTCATAAATCATCTTTTCCCAAGGAAAATATTCCCTAACAGCCTGATTTAAAGGCATCAAGAAAGTCCCTCCGAAAACTGTTTGATCCTTTAACAGATTCAAACACACACATATTTATTGCATGGCTACCGGATGCAACATACCGTTTATGATGGATTGATAAATTTGAAATATTAAACATTTTTTTCCCTGTATTTCTTTGCACTTCTTGCTCTTCTCCCTCATTCAGGCATTCATTGCCTTGGGGAATGGATACCTCAGAGAAGAGGAGAGAACAAAGTAATTGGCTTTGGGCTTTTGAATCTCAAAAGCCATGCAACAAATTTGGGAACATAGGTGATGAATTAGATCAAAGCTTCCTCCCAAGAAGATTAGGTTCTTTGGAATTGAGGACGAGGGAGTGTATGAGGAAAAATGAGCCCAGGAGGGGAACATGGAGAATTATCCATGAAGGTTCATGAGATCAGAGAGCAAAGTGAAGGCATGCCTCACTTCTTAGGTAGTGCCCACTAGAGGTACCATGATCTCAGAGAAGAAATGTCCATGTGGTGTGCCTAGGCAGAGAGAATCTAGACAGTCTCCCAGAGGCTCAGCTTCCTCTTCTGTGAAGGGAGAAGGCTGAAATTATTAAGTCTGCTGAGAGTGGCTCTGGGATAGCACAGGGTTTTAGCTTCACAGAGTGATTCAAGGCTGAGGAAACGCAGAAATTCTGTGCATTCAGCAGAAATACGGAGCATAACAAGGAACATCCCTGGACCTGACTTGGAACAAGGGTTGAGGTGGCAATGACCCATGTGGACCAGTGACCAAGGTCCAGAGTAGATTTCAGAGACTTTAGCAGATACCAGTGTGGCTAAGTGACAACCAAAGACCAGACCCTTCCCCATCTTAATCCCATGCCCCAGGAATGTTGTCAAAATCCTCATGCCCTGGATCACAAGATTTTATCCCTTTTCTGGAGATGGCCTATCTGTTTTCTCTGGCCGCTCCAAATTTTGCTACCTTCATGTCCTTGCATCTGACCTCACCTTGAGAGGGAAAGGGAGGGAGAAGGGTGCAACCATTAAAAGAATGACAGAGCTATTGAGAAAAACAGGATACAGCAAAAACTGGTTAGAACCAACTAGGCCCAAGATGGCAGAAGATGTGACTTCCAGTAGCTTTTGAGCCTCATTATATGCTCACTGTAATACATTAGCATGCTAAATGACACACCCACCAGAGTCATGACAGTTCTGAGGCTGACCATAAGAGGCAAAAAAGTGGGCAGTGGCCCAATTATTTGAGGGAAGGGGTGGAAATCCCCACCCCTTCCCTCAAATAATTAGGATATTCCTCCCTCTCGTTAGCATGTGAAATTACCCAGCTCGTAAAAACTAACAACCCCATATCCCAGGGCTGCTCTCGCCTTCTGAGACAGACCACATTCTGCCTATGGAATGTGTATCTCTCTAAATAAACTTGCTTCCACTTTGCTTTGGCTTGCTCTTGAATTCTTTCCTGGGCAAAGCCAAGGACCCTCACATGGCACCCATTCTAGGGACTCACCCAAGACCAGGGACATGACCGTTCTCTTGCTCCCCTTGTCCTGCAACATACTCACCCTCCTCCCTACTATATTAGGTCCTCCTATAACACACACCCCATACTTGGAATTATTTAATGCCTGTTTAATGCCTGTAATCTTTAATTGACTATAAGGACCATGAGGGAAGGTAGCATATCTGTCTTATTTACTCAGCACTTAGCACAATGTCTGATACGATACATAACAAGCTGTCAGTTAATGGTTGAATAACTTTTTCCTACAGGAACACACAAATGTACAGAAAATACATAGAAGGGTGTTGATTGCAGCACTGTTGGTAACAATATAGATTCAAACTAAATGTCCATCAATAGGGAAGGAATGAAGTAAATTAGAGTAATTAGAGTTCCTCTGTAATATGGAATAATTTGCCTAAGCAAAAATAATCAGAAAGAAAAAAAAACCTTACAATTTATTTCAAAGTCAAGTTAGATATTATTCCTGAATTTTGTACTGCCTTAGATAATCAATGCCATCACCATCCTCCCCATATCACATAGACAACTGACTTGACACTCTCCTTTGAAAAACACAAGTTCAAAACTTGAAATTCTGTATACTCTCATGAGTTCTTACAAGGGTCCCCATGATTTAGGAAGATTGTAAGCATTTATCAGGATAGCCATTGGTTATCACCAATGATTGTCACCATCATCATCACTGACATTTACTGAATGCTTACTATGTGTCAGGCACCCATGCAAACACCTGCTACATGTTATCTCATTTTGAATCCGCATAACCACCCTTATTTTTATACTACTTTACAGATTAGGCTCAGGGACTGTGGCAGAGAGACCATAAAATAATTCAATGATTCTACCTCCTGGTGTTCACACATTTGTGTAATCTCCTCCCCTGAGTGTGGGAGGGACCTGTCACTTGGCTCTAACAGAACATGGCAAATGTGGTGGGGTGTCACTGCCGTGATTACCTCATGTCACATAAGACAAGTCTGTTTTAGCAGGCTGCACTCAGAGACTCTCCCTGCAGGTTTGATGAGGTAAGCAGCCATATGGGAGAAGCTCATGTGGCAAAGAATTTCAGAAAGCCTCTAGAACCTGAGGGCAGTTGACAAGCACCAAAAAGTGGGGGACTTCAGTCATATATTCAGTCATACAGCCTCAAGGAAATGAATTCTGACAACAACCTGAATGAATTTGGAAGCAGATTCTTCCCCAGTAAGCTTCCAAATTAAATCCAGCCTGGCAGATACCTTGTGGCAGCTTCATGAGACTCTGAACAGAGAGGATCCAACTAAGCCACGCTCAGACTCCTAACATCATGAGGGACTAAACGTGTGTGGTTTTAAGCCACTAAGTTTGCGGTAATTTGTTATGCAGCAATAGGAAATAAATACAGAGAGGTTAAGTTTCTTACCTTAGACCCCACATAAGTTGTGGGACTGGATATCCTACTTGGGTCTGTCGACTCCCATGTTCGTCAGGGCCAAGCCCTGCCCTGCTCCATCTACGTGGTGCTTTCAAGATTGTTTCAGATCCAAGAATGGGGATCATCAGAAAATCTACAAACAACAAATGCTAGAGAGGGTGTGGAGAAAAGGGAACCCTCTTACACGGTTGGTGGGAATGTAAATTGATACAGCTACTATGGAGAACAGTATGGAGGTTCCTTAAAAAACTACAAATAGAACTACCATACATACGACCCAGCAACCCCACAACTGGGCATATACCCTGAGAAAACCATAATTCAAAAAGAGTCATGTACCATAATGTTCATTGCAGCTCTATTTACAATAGCCCGGACATGGAAGCAACCTAAGTGTCCAGCGACAGATGAATGGATAAAGAAGATGTGGCACATATATACAATTGAATATTACTCAGCCATAAAAAGAAACGAAATTGAGTTATTTGTAGTAAGGTGGATGGACCTAGAGTCTGTCATACAGAGTGAAGTAAGTGAGAAAAATAAATACCGTATGCCAACACATATATATGGAATTAAAAAAAAAAAAAAGGTTCTGAAGAACCTAGGGGCAGGACAGGAATAAAGATGCAGACGAAGAGAATGGACTTGAGAACACGGGGAGGAGGAAGGGTAAGCTGGGATGAAGTGAGAAAGTGGCATGGACATATATACACTACTAAATGTAAAACAGATAGCTAGTGGGAAGCAGCCACATAGCACAGGGAGATCAGCTCAGTGCTTTCTGACCACTTAGAGGGGTGGGATAGGGAAGGTGGGAGGGAGATGCCAGAGGGAGGGGATATGGGGATATATGTATACGTATAGCTGATTCACTTTGTTATACAGCAGAAACTAACACAACATTGTAAAGCAATTATACTCCAATAAAGATGTTAAAAAAAAAAGTTGTATCACCTTTGGACATCATCTAGAAGTCATTCTTCTTCACCATTTGAATAAAGGTCACCTTTGTATTCCATGAGAAAATAAAAATGTAATATTTAAAATAAAGTAGATAACCAACACGAGGAAAAAAAAAAAGATTGTTTCAGATCCAAGCTTGCACTCCAACACATGACTCAGCTGAGTTCCTCTAATCACTCAGACCAAAGGACCTTCCCTGTCTTGGATCACCTAGCAGACCTCACTACCTTCTCATGCAGGCTACAGCTGCGTGATGGAGCAATGATAATACGGGCCCATCTTGGGCCCTGTTTGATAAGTGTCAGTGATTAGTGGCCCTGGAAGGACTTCCTAGAGACATGGGCTCCCATGCACATTCCCTTGGTCCCACAGTGGGGCTGGATGTGGGGATGCTTAGTTAGTTACTCAGTGAACTGGACGGCAGCAGGCATACTGTGGCACTTTGCTTTTGATGATTTGCTGCTCAGTGGCATTAGTATGATACCTATCAGTGTACTCCTAATCAGAACAATCACCTAGTCTTGAGCTCCCAGAATTCCCTATCAATTTATGAGAAAGGATTATGGCATTTAGATATGGTACTGTGTGCACTTCTATTATTGCCTGGTGAAAGCATTTGTAAACTACATGAATCAGGTTACTACTACACTAAACAATGTACCTAAGAAACAAATGAAACTCTCTCGTATATCATGAGCCATAAAACTATAGCAGTTCAACCATCCAAAATCACATCAGTAACTAGAATTTACAAATTTCTTCTTTACACTAAGCTTTCATGAAAATATTTTCCTTATTTCAATATATCCTCCTATAAAGGTAGATGGAAAAAATCAATATGCAGGGATGCAAAAAGAAAAGGGAAATAATACATATCTTGTATTGTCATGAGTCTTGTTACAGTTGGAAGCATTTAAAGAAGCAAATGTTTAAAATAATGACATTATGTAAGTGCATAGTTTATAGCTTGTTTACACATTCACCAGTTTAACTCACATTTGTCATATATCCACCAAGAACAGAGGCCTACTATGTACCTGGAAAGAATTCAAAAGAAAAAGAAATATGGTCTCTGCTTCCAGAGGCTTTCTAACTATATGGATCTGAAAATAACCACATGGGCTAATTCAAGCACAGAGAGCCACAGAGGCAATACCTTGCCATTCTTTTACATGTATTTCACCAGCACACATGAACATAGAGAAAAGCTTGGAAGTACATCACAATGTTAATCGTGGCTATCTTTAGGTGGTGAGATTTTATATAATCTTTAAAAATTACATTTATTTCCTAAATAAAATAGCCCTTAAAAATAAAAATAATCATGCATAGCTATTAAAGATCTTTTAAACCACTAGGTCTAGGGAATTCCCTGGTGGTCCAGTGGTTAGGACTCAGCGCTTTCACTGACGTGGTTCAATCCCTGGTCTGGGAACTAAGATCCGACAAGCCTCAAGGCCAAAAAAAAAAAAAAAAAATTAACCACTAGGTCTAACGTTAACTAAACAAATCCTCCAAAACAATGATGCATATCCATTCCTCTCTGAGCAAAGAACCATTTAGGGGAAAAGAAAGAATATTAACAGTCTCATATTCTTTTTTTAAAAAAAGATGTCTTGGGAATTCCCTGGAGGTCCAGTGGTTAGGACTTCGCACTCTCACTGCCAAGGGGAAAAAAAACAAAAAAACAAAACCAATAAAGTAGACCAAAAAAAATGTCTTTTAAAGTTGAGTGATACATACAATAGTGCTTAAGTGTTCCTTCATTAATCCCCCCAGTAGAGGGGAATAAGTTCAGGCTTATTTTTTGTTTTTGCTTTGACTAAAATGTCAAAAACTTTATAGAAGTGCATGTTCTGAAAGATCTGATTGTAACACAGCACCTTTGAATCAGTCTGCAGGATATGAGCCCCCAGAAGGCCGGAGGAAGGGGTTCAAGGGATTGGGAGTTAAGGAAATATCTGGCAGAAGTCAGCCACAGATTTAGGGCACACACTGTAACCCCATTAGATACTGGGAAGAAGTGGCAGTATATTGAGCACGAAAGCAAAATACTCTGTAAATGATTTTCTTGGCTGCCTGTGTATTAAATGGCTAGAAGGGGATGTTCTCACTGCGACTCCCCAGAGAAACAGAAGGGGTGGGGCCACTGATCTATCTTCCTGAGCACTCTCCCGACACTGTCACAGGCCACTCACACTCATGCTGGACACTCCATCCTGGGTCCACTTCTGGACAGCACAGAGGGCTTTTTCACCGTGGGTGGCGGGTGAAGTGAGAAAGGCTCTTTATATGTTGACTTTGATATGTGAGTTCTCTATTCTTCAAATGAAATCTCTTAGCAAGTGGTGAAGTCCAAAGGGCTGAGTTTGCTATACACCTCATTCTGAATCCACATAACCACCCTGTGAAATAGGTTATTTTTATACCAAGTTTACAGATTAGGCTCAGGGACTGTGGCAGAAAGACCATAAAATAACTCAATGATTCTGCCTCCTGGTGTTCACACATTTGTGTAATCTCCTCCCCTGAGTGTGGGAGGGACCTGTCACTTGACTCTGACAGAACATGGCAAACGTGGTGGGGTGTCACTGCCGTGATTACATGTCACATAAGACAAGTCTGTTTTAGCAGGCTGCACTCAGAGACTCTCCCTGCAAGTGTGGTGAGATAAGCAGCCTCATCAAACCTGCGAGGAGACACAGTCCATGCACTGCTGCATACTCCACAGGGCGGGGCGGATCACGGCTAACATCATCTTCATCACTGGAGATCTGGTTCCTGCCATAGGGCTCAGCACAAAACAGGGGCTCAACAGGTAGTTGGGAAATGAGGCAATGAAGGAGTGAAAAAATGCCAACTTTCCTTCGGTCACTTTGAAAATCTCTCACCTGGGTTAACATCAGTAGCCTCCTGATCTTGTCCTTTATACTTTCACTCCTCTATAATCCATTCTCCACACAAAAGCCAGGATGATCTTTTAAACAACAAATCAGGTTCTAAAATTAGATCATGGTGATTGTTGCACAACTCCGTAAATGTTAGAAACCACTGAACTGCACATTGAATTCAAATGGATGAATCTTAAGAGTACGTAAATTATATCTCAATTAGATTGTTTAAAAATTGTCATTTCCTTAAAACCTTTCACTTGTTCCCATTTCACTTAGTCACTCAGAATTCACCAGGTTACTTACAATGACCTACAGAATCCTACCTATCCCATGGGCTCTGCCACCCTCTCCATTCTCAGCTCTCATCACCGCTTGCCTCCCACTAGTCCCTGAATCTGCCCATCTTGTTCCTGCCTTAAGGTCTCGCACTTGCTCTTAGCTTTGTCCGATACTCTTCTTCATCATATTGTGAGCGATGCCTCTTACCGTTCAGGTTGTCCCATGTTAGCACACGCTATTGTCAATCACCACTCTACAACTCCACCACCCCTCACACTTTCTATCATATTACTATTTATAGCACTTCTCACTCTTTGAAAAAAATTTTTTAATTGTTTTCCTTATTGGAATATACACTCTTTGAGAGTAGAGAATCTTGTTGCTTACCTCTGAAGAACATGACTGAAACACACAGTAGGTACTAACAAATACAAGTTAAATGTTGATTGCCTGGTTCCTGCATAGACAGTTTATTCTGCCAAGGCTGTCGGGGAAAAAACTAGTATTTACCTTAGTGTATCTTTCTAAGAAAAAAAGATGTTTTAAAAAATGCATTGCTTTGGAACGATTTGTTATTTTTTACATAGCATGGCAAAATTAGCAAGCTTCTAATTTCAGTGAACAGATTAAAATAATGTTAATATTCCACTATACAAGACGTATTACAACACTGTGAAATTTTCAAACATATACACCCCTATGGGGCGGGGGGTGGCAGCAGATCTTCCATCCAGACCATTATTAAGTGGCATTTGCAGACTTAAAAGCATTTGGATATTTACAAAAACATCTAGATCATAAGAGTTTCCTCATTCTACTTTCCTTGATTGTTTAGAACTCTTAGAAAGCCAAGGTAATATTTGTAAAAAATATACTTAAGAAAAGTTTTCCTTTTAATACTACACTCCTGTTAATTATAATTTCAATGATATAGTTCAATCATAGCCACATGCTCTAAACTACTTTTAATAACATCTAATTCACACAAGACTTTGCTGCTTCAAAGTGCTTAAACATTGTCTCATTTGACCTTTGCAACAGCCTATGGGTTATAGCATTAGCACTTTTGTGAAGAAGGAAAAGTTCAAAGAGTTAGAGACACTTGCCCAAGGTACCACCACTCATAAGGAGGGATTCTCCCCAAGTGTTTTTCTGACAAATCGCTTGCCCTTTCCTCTTAAGGCCTCATCTCGGAAATCATCACTGTTCTCCTTACAAATTATACAACAAGAAGTGATAGCAATCTAAAGTACTCCAGGGAATTAAGAACTGGGAATAGTAAATAATGCAACTATGAACACTGGAGTGCACATATCTTTTCGAAGCAACCTAAGCGTCCATCAACAGATGAATGGATAAAGATGGAATATACAATGAATGATGAATGGATATACAATGCAATACTACTCAGTCATTAAAAAGAAGGAAATTTTGCCATTTGCAACGACATGGATGGGCTTGGAGGGCATTATGCTAAGTGAAACAAGTCAGACAGAAAAAGACAAATAGTTTATGATATCACTTATATGTGTAATCTAAGAAATACAACAAACTAGTAAATATAACAACAAAAAAAGCAGACTCAGAGATACAGAGAACAAACTAGTGGTTACCAGTAGGGAGAGGGAAGGGAGGAGGGCAATATAAGGGTAGGGGAGTAAGAGTTACAAACAATTAGGTATAAAATAAGCTATAACGATATATTATACAACACAGGGAAGATAGCCAATATTTCATAACTATAAATGGGGTATAACCTTTAAAAATTGTGAATCACTATATTGTATACCTGTAACTCATAAAATATTGTACAGCAACTCTACTTCAAATAAAAAAATCTCAAAGGCATTATAATGAGTGAAACATAAAAAAGAACTGTAAATAGAATTAAGTGATTGGCATTCAATCAAAAATAACTTCATTTTGATAATCTATATATTCCTGAAAAGTCATCAATTTGGCCTTTAGCATCACAAATTATACACAATCTAATCTGTGTTTGTTGTGGCAATATTGACTTATGGAAATATCTTTGTTTTTGGTATTTTTAAAGACTGGTTTCCCATAGTTTTTATCAATACAAACTACAGGTTCAACTTTTAAAGCTTTTCAGAAGGAAATCAGTGTTTTAATAAGTAACACTGTGTATCAGGAAATATCCTTATACTAGCATTTAAGAAGTGCTTGCTTACATCCAGAGTTTTAAAAAATCATTAGCATGGGAGGTTTTTAAGATTTTACGTTCTACGTGGAACCTCGCTGACATTAAATGATTGACACCCTTTTCTAAATCTACGGGATGCCTGATACTGATTTCTGTTTCAATTGTTAAGATGCATTAGTTTCTCAGAGGTCTCTGATAAATCTATCCAACTAATCTTCAAGGATTTCTCCTTAAGCTCTATATACTTAGCATTCCCACACAGCCCCACACAGCTTTTCCAAGGCAATTCTAAAAACCAGTATATCGGGCTTCCCTGGTGGCGCAATGGTTAAGAATCCACCTGCCAATGCAGGGGACACGGGTTTGAGCCCTGGTCCGGGAAGATGCCACGGAGCAACTAAGCCCGTGCACCACAACTACTGAACCCGTGTGCCGCAACTACTGAAGCCCGTGCGCCTAGAGGCCATGTTCCGCAACAAGAGAAGCCACTGCAATGAGAAGCCCGCGCACCACAAGGAAGAGTAGCCCCTGCTCTCCGCAACTAGAGAAAGCCTAAGCGTAGCAACGAAGACCCAACGCAGCCAAAAATAAAATTAAACCCAGCATATCCTTACATAAATATCTAAGCACTTAATCTCTAGAGACACCACTTGGGCTGCTATTCCAGCTAATAAGATTAATAATTTTTTTTTTTAGTTTTATTTATTTGGGGCTGCATTGGGTCTTCGTTGCTGCACGCGGGCTTTCTCTAGTTGCAGTGAGTGGGGGCTACTCTTCGTTGCGGTGCACGGGCTTCTAACTGCGGTGGCTTCTCTTGTTGCAGAGCACGGGCTCTAGGTGCATGGGCTTCAGTAGTTGTGGCACACGGGCTCAGTAGCTGTGGTGCACGGGCTTATTTGCTCTGCGGCTTATTTGCTCCGTGGGATCTTCCCGGACCAGGGCTTGAACCCGTGTCCCCTGCATTGGCAGGCAGATTCTTAACCACTGTGCCACCAAGGAAGCCCAGATTAATAAATTTTGATATATCAATACTTTAGGGAAAACTAACAATCTGTTCCTTGAGAGAGTTCTGTTGATTGCTTGGGATGAGAAAAATGCTCAACCAGTTTATTCACTATTCACATATTTTATTACTATTCTTGGCAACTAACTCATTAAAAAACCAAGAAAAACCCTATATAATTTGCATTTTCCCATGTGTTGTTGTTGTTTTACATACCCTTCCTTACCAATCCCTATTCCCACACAGCTCCACGTCCTCCCAAAAGACAACCATTTTCCTTTCTATGAATGAAGATCATGTTGCAGTTCCTTACTGTAATGACCTGCTTATCTATTCTTTACCTTTAAAACTGAGTAAATCCTACAGCTATCATTAATCCAGTAACTTGATTTTCATAAAGGACCTGAGGGGCTACCAGGTCTCAAACTGCCTTCTAAATCAAAGATTTAATGATGTTCTGCAGTTTTTAGATTAAATATACTTTATTAGGCACTAATTGTTTGCAAGTCTGGAACATATACATCATAAAATTAATTTGCTATTTCACTAAAACATGCATCTGAATTAAGTCATCTCCTCGTTCTGCTGTGTACGCCACATACATAGAAATACAGAGATAGATCTGTTCAATAAATTATGAGACACATAAGACACACTAAAATTCTCACACTCTATGAATGTATTAACCACACAAAGACATGTGATTTCAATAAGCTGACAATGTTCTCCTAGGACTGCTTAATTTAGCATACCTGCTAATAAACTTTGGTTTGGGCACCACCTAATGGCAGAAAATATATTTTTTTTAGAACCTACTTTGCTTTGCTTCCTGAGGCTTGCTAATTTTTGCAGTTCAGTTTATACTGATTTAGAAAATGTTTGCTCTTTATCAACCTATATAAATAGTTTTAAGTGTTCAGTTTTTTAAAAAGGATAAAGCCTTCCTTACCTTGGAATAATAAACTACTTTTCACACTGGGAAAATGTGCCAATGAAATGCTTTAAAAAATTCTATTCGATCCTTAAATATTTAAATTGAGCCTCATAATTAAGACGTTTTCATTGAATCATCTTAATTAGGGGTTCCCAAACTTTTAAAACCATACACATTTAATTTTTTTCAAGAGATGCCTGCCTGAACCTAGTGTTTGTTTCATGATTCAACAAAGAGGCAAAATATTTGGGATAATACAGAGCAGATAACTGATGTTTTAAGAAAAGGAATTTATTATTTACACCACTGAAATAGTCCCCCGTAAGAACAATACATACCATGTTTATTTGAAAGAACCAGATTCCTTTCAAATAGAAGAACTGTATAAAGCAATACTGTCAACACAAAACAGTGGTCACAATACATATCTGCAGGCAAAAGCATTGCAAATAAATTTCGTTAATCTTATGGCTAGATATTTTCACTGCAACACAGTGTTCGCACTTAGAGAAGACAGAGCTGGAACAGAACAAAAACTTTTTGTTCATGCTTTTTAGGACTGAACCAGTGATACGTCCCATTTTAAAATGTACTGCCTTTAACTGCTTTTAGGACAACGGTTTTAGGCAGGAGTGCTTCTACTTGGCCACCACAAAGAAACACACTCTTGTTCCTTAGTTTCATTCCTCAGTCTCATGTTTTCTATTTGTCACACTATGACATATCTGTATCAGAGCAGACGTTTTCCAGTTTTACTCAAAGAACACTGACACACATACACACCAAACTGAGACAGCTCAGAATTTAGAGATGTAGGTAGTGGAGTAATAAGAGAAATTGTGTTTATGACAAAGGAATAAGAAAAACTCTCAGTGGTTTTAAGCATACTAAACTAGGTTCCTTACTAAAAACTTTTCTTTTTTTGGTTTTAAAAACAGTAGTTTCAAGGTGGGTTTGGGCTTAGACAACAACACAGTGAGACAAACACACAAGACATACTTATTTCCAAAGTCACAAAATGACATTGTTAAGCATACATTTTTGTCCACTTTTGTGTGTGTGTGTGGGAATAAAACTCAGTACTCTATGTTGGAGAAAATATTTTTCAAGAGTTACAGTATATTCATACAGGGGGAAAAAGGTGGGGTTTTTTTGTGTTTTTTTTGGCGTATTGCTATGATCTTCAAAAAATATAAAATTAAATTTACAAAAAACTGGAAGACCAAGTATAAGCAGTCTGATATTTGCTGCAGTGTCCAGCACTATCATAATGATCTTTAGCATAAAAGCAAAAAGAAGTTCATGGATCTCAAGTATCTTCAATAACTGCCAGTATAGCTTGTAACTACTGTCCTTGCTTCTTTGAGAGATACCTGCAAGAAATAAAATAAGATGTCTAAGCTGTATCACACTAAATTTAACTTAACAATCTAACTCTCCTCCCTAAAGAAAGTTGTTTATTTTAATAACAAAACTTTTCAAGGTAAGTAATAACTGTTAATAATCGCTAACATGTGTTGTTTATGTGCCAAGCACTGTTCTAAGTACATGCATTAATTCATTTAGTCCTCACAACAGTTCTGAGTGTTCAGTGAGAACTTATTTCTATTTTACAGTCACAGAGAGGTTAAGCAGTTTGCCCAAGTTCATACAGCAAGAAAGTGGCAGAGTTCAGATTGAAAACAAGGCTCTGGAGGCTACACACTATCACTCCACACTGCCTTACTTCCAAATGTGAAAGCAATATATTAACTAGTATTATAATTTCCCCCCAAAACTAAAAGTCCATTTGAAGATCTTCTTGCATAAAGGTAGTGAGCCAAAGCTGCTAAAGAACTCTGATCAAGAGTGTAAAGATGCAAAGATGTTAATTCACCAAGCAAATTTTTCTTCATATTATTTTATAGGAGTCTACCAACAAATTAAAATTTTTACATCTCTATTTCTCACATTTATGAATTACTATACACTCAGAGCTATGGGGGTGGGGAAAGAGTTCTTAAAATCAGGAGACCTGGACAAGTTTTGATGGTAAAACTTGCTCAAACTGTGGCATTTACTATCTCTATGACTTAGTTACACCATCTACAGAAAATGTGGATAAAAATGCCAGCCTTGGGCTTCCCTGGTGGTGCAGTGATTGAGAGTCCGCCTGTCAATGCAGGGGACACAGGCTCGTGCCCCGGTCCAGGAAGATCCCACGTGCTACGGAGCAGCTGGGCCCGTGAACCATGGCCACTGAGCCTGCACATCCGGAGCCTGTGCTCTGCAACGGGAGAGGCCACAACAGTGAGAGGCCCGCGTACCGCAAAAAAAAAAAAAAAAAAAAAAAAAAGCCAGCCTTACCCTCCTAATAGGATTATGAGACTCTAATAAGAAGTATATAAATAAGTATTATGTAGGTATATAAGTACATAAGTATATGAGTGATCTGAAAAGCCAAAAGTGTAATTTGAAAAGCCAAAGTGTTATATTACATGAAGTTTCTTTTGTTGCTGTATTGGTGAAATCAGCTCTTCAAAGATTTACTTCCAAAAAAGTACTTGCAGTACATAATAATCCTGTTCACTTCTCCAGAGGTCTTTCCTGCCTCAAAATCTTGACGTTTACATGCAGTCCATATGTAGATTTGTACTTATGTTTGTGCTCAGAAAAAAAGACTAGAAGACTAGACACCAAGCTGGTAACAGTGGTTATCTTTCATAATCACAAGTAACTGTTTCCCTAAAGGAATAAATTTTCTATTTTTTCTGCTACACAGAGGTTACTTGTAATTTTTAACAGAAAACTTTTTAGTATATTTTATTTTATCCTGACATTATTTTACAGTATGAGAACAGATTCATAAAAGAGTGACCCATTTAATGTCACAAAATAATTAACAGGTAGTATCACAAACATGTACTAGTCTCTTAAATCCTCTCTAGTAGAGAAGTATTAAAGATCTTAAGAGATGTGGGTTTATGAACAAGTTAGAGGTTAAGAGAAAGGGAAAAATACTTCCAGGGTAGATGTCACTGGATTAGAAAATAGCTTTAGAATTCACCCATTTTAAACAAAAAATAAGAGTTATGTGTATACCAGAGCTGCCAGACAATTTTTCATTCATTAATGTAAAGAAGAAATGAATAAGCAATTAGCACTTACCTTTCCCAATATTTGTGATTTAGGTCCAAAAAGTCATCTAATTTTGCTATTTCCTTGAGGTACTGGGTTAATTTTAAAAGTTCTTTGTCTTTATCTCGATTTAGGTGTGCTTTCATAAAAGGTCTTATCTATTAGAAAACAAACGTTATCCAACACTTCACATTGTAGTAAGAAAACTAGTACAAATCTACACTATTTTATCACTTAAATTACAGTTAATGAGATTAAAATATCACCAAGGCTGTCAATACTAAGAATTACTTTTACATTATCTCACTGACAGTCATGGTATGTTTACAGTAGAAGTTCTTCCACTTAATTTACCTTCTGTTATCTTTTCAGTCTGAACCTCACAACACCAGCTGTCTTATAGCACTTGAACCTTATGTGGCTTCTCTACTTTGCAAAACTGCTTAGACTTTTCCCCCTTCTATCAATCCAGTTGCTTCTTACTAATTAAATAATCTCATTCACATCACTTCATTCATAAAAAGGTACCCAATACATGCTGGATCTACAGAGGAGTGAGATAAATTTTAACACTGATGATTTTACATCAGTATTTTCTATGAAATTTTTATATAGCTATAATATTACACATTTGTATAACCTACTTTCACTCACATTTTATCATAAGCATTTTTATCAGTAAAGTCTCCATTAAAATATTTTTAATTATATGAGTTTTCCCATAAAAATCAGCCATATTTTCTAAATTTTTAAGTTCAATGTATTTTATGATAAAAAGTATGCATTTCAAAAGCATGAAAGTCAGGATGGTGGACAGGGTTGAAGACTATAATTAGTAAGGGCTTTTACATCTTGACTTGAATGGTAGTTACATATGTTCTATGTAAAACAATTTGTTAAACTGCACATTTTATGCACTTTTCTTTATGTTACACTTCCAATAAAGAGTTCTACTTTTTTAAAGACACCAGCTCATCTATATAGCACTCAAGACAGCATTTCAAAAACTTTTAACTAATTTTAGATGAAATAATGTATCTGGGATTTGCTTCAAAATATCAAAGAGAGGGAAGTAGGTAAGGTATAGAGCAAACATCCATGAATTAACAAGTTGTTTAAACAGGATAATGCATACAATGGGGGTTAGTTTATACAATTCAATGTAGTTCTTTTTATGTTTGAACTTTTCCATTATAAAAAAAATATATCTTTTAAAAATCACACATATGCCTGTAAGTACTGAATAACTCATTTTAGTAAAGCATTAATATATCCTTATTGTGATTGGGAGAAAATGCAAACCGGTCACTTTTACATAGTGACATTTAAAAACAGATGACATTTAATCATTGTCACCTGTTGAGAACAATGAGCCCATAGGAGTCGTTACCGTATCTATCAAGAGCAGAGGTTTTAAATATTTTTTTATTTACTTCTCTGTCATTGGAAAAACACACCACCAGCTTGAAACGGACAGAAGAAAAGTTTCCCATACGTTCCAGGTTCTATTCACATCAGAACAGTTTAAGGCCAAGGACCTCCACAGCTGTTAGTCAGTTGAGCTCTGGCTGAAGGGCACCAATAAGAGCTGTCAGAGTCTGCACAGAAGCAAACTCTTGTAGGAGATCCTAATTCCAAACAGGCAGTGCGGGCAGTGCTGCTTCATAGCAGCAGCAGTGACTGCAGGAGATCAAGAAAACTCTCTGCAGGGACCTGCTTAAGCCCTACAGCTAGGTGTAAATAGGCATGATATCAGAATGTAGTGAAATGAGTTTCAGCATAATCCTGGGCAATATTGTAATGTTTTAAAGTACTCCCTCATTTAAAAAGATTGTAAAGGCAACATATTGACTTCTAAACTATTAATATACAATGTACCAAAGTGATTCCAAGTATAGAAGCAGAAGAGATTAGACTGAAAGAGAAAGTACAGAGTCAGTGGCTGGTAAATAAGATTTTCAACCCAAGGCCCTGCTAAGTTACTTTTACTTTCTAAACATTTGGTCTTAAGCACTATTAAATAACAAAACTAAAATACCCCAAAGATTCTGGATCTAAAAGTTAAACTAGTTAAGTGGGAAAAATTCACCTAACTGACTTCAATTGTTTCAGTATAATCACTGTTCCATTCTTCAAGAATGCTCTAAGTGATCACTAGAAGGGCAGGCAACATATATTACCACCTCTGTCTCATATCAAAAAACATTTTTAGGAAATTAAGAATGTTTAGATTATCTGCATTCTCTTAAATCACCATTTCCCTATATAGATAATAAAAGTGAAGTTCAGAGTAACTACTGATTAATCCATGACCAAAATTCAAGTTCCTTTAGTTCAGTACTATATTCATAATTGACAAAGCCTCCTATGTTATATATTTCAAACCTTATGATTAGCAAGCTTATATTAGAAGTTAACTACTTTAAAAATAAGCAGTCTTTAAGATCTCTGTGAAATCTCTGAGATTTCTACCAGAAACATTATGGAACTGTGATAACAAAACAGAATTTAGAATATTTCACAATTTCAAAACCACTTCTATGTCAATGTGGGCAGATCATTAATTACTACCTTCTTAAAAGAGGCTTTCAAAAGGAGACATGCGAGAGATTACCTGTAGAATGCTTAAAAATACCTCTCCTGAATTAGAATTTTTGGAGGCAGAAACGTACATATTTTTAGGAATTCCTTCAATGATTCTACTGAGTACTCTGCTAAAAAACAAACAAACAAACAACTTGCTCTAAAGTAACATGAAGAACTAGAAGTTTATATCATCATCTGTCTGCATCCAGAGATGAGGAGGGCCCAAATGTTGGCTGGGAAAATAATGTTTCTTCTAAAAACACACATGAAAGTAATAATTTTTTTTTTAAGTTAAAGCGCTTCTCAAAAATCATTCCCTGTCTCACTTATATGTAGAATCTAAAAACAAAAACAAGAACAAAACACATACATAAAGCCAAGCTCATACATACAGAGAACAGAAAGAACATACTGGTGGTTGCCAGAGATGGGTGGGTGGGAGAAATGGGTAAAGGGAGTCAAAAGGTACATACCTCCAGTTATAAAATAAATAAGTCATGGGGATGTAAGGTATAGCACAGCAACTATAGTTAACAATACCATATTGCATATTTGAAAGTTGCTAAGAGAACAGATCTTAAACGTGCTCATCCGAAGAAAAAATTCTGTAACTATGTATGGTGACAGATGTTAGTTAACTAGACTTACTGTGGTGATCATTTCACAATATAAACAAATATCAAATCACAAATTATGTTGTATACCTGAAACTAATATTATACCTCAGTTAAAAAAAAATTAATCATTCCTTAAATACCATGACTTTACCTCCTTTCCAGTACAGACACCACTACTTTCATACAAAATTTGGCTTAGATCAATTGAATCTTTCCTCAAGACTGAAGAACATACTTTTGTACCTTATACCTCGTAAACTACACACAGGAAAAGCACTTCTCCTAAAGCCTCAAACAGAAATCATTTTTAAAGGACAGAATAATCACCAGTCTACCCCAAGTACTTTTCTTCCAAGTCAACAGCTCTTATATTTGTGACAATTCACTACCTAGATTAATATTCAGTCCCTAAACTATCCTCATTGTACACTAAAGACGACATCAACAGTCTGTATGGAGAGCTTCAAAAATCTACCTTCTTCAAGTTTTTCTCTCGTCTTTTAAAGTTATCAAGATTTCAGCTGGTAGTGACTTCCCTGGTGGCAGAGTGGTTAAGAATCTGCCTGCCAATGCAGGTGACACAGGTTCGAGCCCTGGTCCGGGAAGATCCCACGTGCCGTGGAGCAACTAGGCCCGTGTGCCGCAACTACTGAGCCTGTGCTCTTGAGCCTGCGAGCCACAACTACTGAGCCCACGTGCCACAACTACTGACGCCCATGCACCTAGAGCCCGTGCTCTGCAACGAGAAGCCACCGCGATAGGAAGCCCACGCACCGCAACAAAGAGTAGCCCCCGCTCACTGCAACTAGAGAAAGCCCGCGCTCAGCAACGAAGACCCAACGCAGCCAAAATAAATTAATTAATTAATTAAAAAAAAAACATAAAAAAAAGAATTCAGCTGGTGGAAAAGTTCAGGACTGAAATTAAAAGTATCTTAGTATCAGGATTTACACTTCAAATGGAGACTCCATTTGCATTGTACCATAATATAGAGCTATCTTTTCCATTTTCATAATGTATTTACACATAGGCAACCACAGGTACCAGAAATTTTAAGTTTCAAATTTCTCTCTTACCAATTTTACGCTGCTACCAGGGTTAAGTATCACTATGATGCCTACATAAGATTGCATGTGACTTAATGCTAAGATCAACACTGGCCTAGAAACCAAGTTACTTGGGTTCTAACTCAAATTCTATCATTAACCAGTTACAATCATGACCTTGGGCAAGTCATGAACTTTCTGATCCTCAGATTGCTTCTATAAAAGATGACTGAGGTTCCTTCTAGCTCTAGCATTTCATAATTCTAAGCTCTCCACTTACACTATATGAATTTTCAAAAACCTTTTATTAGTTTCAGTTTAAAAAGGAAAATCAGGGCTTCCCTGGTGGCGCAGTGGTTGAGAGTCCGCCTGCCGATGCAGGGGACGCGGGTTCGTGCCCCAGTCCGGGAAGATCCCACATGCCGCGGAGCAGCTGGGCCCGTGAGCCATGGCCGCTGGGCCTGCGCGTCCGGAGCCTGTGCTCCGCAATGGGAGAGGCCACAACAGTGAGAGGCCCGCGTACGGCAAAAAAAAAAAAAAAAAGGAAAAATACCCTTATTGCCAGCTTTCCAGCTAACTAGAACATCAGAAATTCAAGATTTGTATCCCTAATAGAATGTCTGATGCTTTCACTTTTGATGCTAAAAGTCAATGTCAGTAAGCTCATGTTGCTCCACAGAGCTAACTGAAAATAAAACATCTGGATGGGGGCTTCCCTGGTGGTGCAGTGGTTAAGAATCTGCCTGCCAATGCAGGGTACACGGGTTCGAGCCCTGGTCCGGGAAGATCCTGCATGCCACGGAGCAACAAAGCCCATGTGCCACAACTACTAAGCCTGAGCTCTAGAGCCCACGAGCCACAACTATGGAGCCCACATGCCACAACTACTGAAGCCTGTGCACCTAGAGCTGGTGCTCCACAACGAGAAGCCCCCGCTTGCCACAACTAGAGAAAGCCCACACGCAGCAACAAACGCCCAACACAGCCAAAAATAAATAAATAAAATAAATTTATGTAAAAAAAAAATTAGAAAAACAAACCATCTGGATGAGTTGGTTAACTAAGGAGATACCAAGCAAAAAGAGAGAATGCTCAATTTTATATGAATTTTTCTAAACACTTAAGCTTTTCTTGACAGGATAATACACTACTTCCAAAAATTTATGAAATTCAATAGTGCTAACGTTCTACTACATAATCCAGCATATGTGAGAATAGCAAGTAAAATTATGTCTTACCTTTAGTCCATTCTGTGGGTTCATTAGAAAATTTCTTCCTATGTCGTCAAACATGATGGTGTTTTTTTTGCTGTAAAACTCCGAAAACTTTCCCCATATAACACCAAGAGGCTTTACCTTAGAATAAAAGTTTAGATTTAACTCAAGTTTCATGAATAGTTCATCCTTTCTTAAAAGCAGAAATACTGCAAGATGCCCTGCACAACTATGCCAGAGCGTTCCTTTACCATGAGGCAGTCAGTGATGGCTGGCTTTGTGAACAGAACAGAATCAAGATGCAACACACTGTAAGGCACAACATATCTCTCAATGTCAACTTCTGAAAGGTCTGTTCGTGTCTAATGGAACTAAGCCCATTATAAGACTTCCTATAATTTTAATATGAAGATTCGGGATCAAAAAAAGTATTTAATTTTTTAAAAATCTAGTATTTGTTTAGATGTCTGCTGAGCATTCACATGTCCCCTCAGGGCTTGAGGTTTCACATGGGGTCTGTTTTCAAAACTAGAAAACCTTAATGACAATGTACCTGGTTCTTTTATTACAATATTTAAATATTTTGTAAAGGAAAAATGGACTTTCTCCTTAGTTCAGTGGTATAGGTGCACAATTTCTAGGGCATCTGATTATTTCACTTCAAAACACCGTAATTTGTAAATTCTTGCTTTTATTTCTGAATTCTTAAAATGAGCCTCCAAAAAGGTAATTTCTCAGTTATTCACATCTATTGATACTTGCATAAATTCTCTGCAAGATCACACAAGAAATAATAGTGATTGCTTGAAGGAAGGAAAGTTAAGTGGCTGGAGGGTCCAGGAGGGAGGAATACTTTCCACTATACACTTTATTTGTGAATCATGTGAACATATTTTACACACTCACAAAAATATTTTAAATACATTAACTTTTAGAAGAAAAAGTACATTTTGCTGAAGGCAGTAGTCTCGTTGACGGTAATGTGAGATTATATGATGATAATAATAATTATATGAGATTAAATGGTAGGAAATAAATGGTGACAAGCGTTGTCATTAATTTTAAAATGTTTTTTCTCCTCTATAATTTCTTTTAATACGGAGAAAGCCTTTTTCTTAGTGTCCTCATTACTGCAAAAAATGTTATTCAAATATTTTAATTTCACTAAAATTTTATTTGCTGTATTTGTTTGCACTATTTGTTTACTACTGAAACAAACCCCCCAAATACTTGAAGCCAAATATACAGAAACTGACACAATAAACCAGATTCTTGGTTTTCTTAGCCAACATAAAGCCTCAAAAAATATAAGAGCTTTATGACACCCAGGGTTAGAAATCCTACATCTTCTTAAATAGTGCTGTCATTTTGCAATTAGGTCAAGCACCATATGTTCTCCAAAACATGAGCTACCTTGTTTTCTATTAGAGAAGTAATATTGCTGACTGTAGAAAAAAATCCGAAAACACAAAAAAGCACAAAGGAAAATATTTAATTACCTATAATCCAGTTAGTACCAAAGAATGCAACTAGATATTCTGATATATTTCTCCAGTCTTTCTGATAAACAGCCGCAACCTCAAAGAGTTCACAGATCTTTTGTAAAGCTAAGGGAACCCCTGAACCAAACAACGGTTAAAAACTACTTTCTAACAGTTTGCAAATACTGCTAAAATACTTCTTTAACTTTAATAACGTATCATGAAAAATTTCTGAAGCACTAAATACTGCATCAAATAATTAGCTGCAGGGCTTCCCTGGTGGCGCAGTGGTTGAGAATCTGCCTGCCAATGCAGGGGACACGGGTTCGCGCCCTGGTCTGGGAAGATCCCACATGCTGCGGAGCAACTGGGCCTGTGAGCCACAACTACTGAGCCTGCGCGTCTGGAGCCTGTGCTCCGCAACAAGAGAGGCCGCGATAGTGAGAGGCCGCGCGCCGCAATGAAGAGTGGCCCCCGCTCGCCGCAACTAGAGAAAGCCCTCGCACAGAAACAAAGACCCAACACAGCTAAAAATAAATTAATTAATTAATAATAATAATTAGCTGCATTCCATTAAATGGACGAACAAAAATGTGTACAACCAACTCCCTACTGTTGTAGGGATTTGTTATTGAGGATTTCTTTTTATTCCTTTAATTTTTCATTATTATAAACACTCCTGTTTAACACTTCCCAAACTTCTTTTTACTGTTTAGACTTTGTACATGTACCACTTTAGTAGGTAATAAATTATACTTTTCCTTGATGTACGCAGTATTTCCTTTATTGAAAACTCTACACACACATAATTCTATTCATGACTTTTATGACTTTGACAATTTTAATACTGTCTTCCCTAAGTTTTCCTAGTTTGCTAAGTTCTCCCCAATTCCTATTAGTCTGTGTTTCCAAAAGGTACGGACCATGTCTCCTCATCTCTTTATTCCCAACAGTGCCCATTACAGGGCCTTGCAGATCGCAGAAGTTCATAATATGACTAGTTACTTGACACGTAAACAAAGTGAAGAACCTTAATCTTTTCAGCCCAACTCTTTCTTGATGGTTCTTATTGCTTTCTCTAGGGCTTCACGTACATAACCCCAAAGTACATACATCATGATATACCTGCTTTTATTTATCAGTTTCATAGAGGGCAGGGCAAGTGTGTCCTGGTCTGTTTCTAGTATCTTCCTTGACAACATTCAGTATTTTTTCACACCTACTCTGTCTTTAGCAACACTGTGCTGTTATCATCACGGGACAATTAACCATGACCTTTCTTGACAGTCCTTCCTCAAGATCCTTAACTTTGTCACTAAAATTCATATCTGTTAACCTGAAATACATCTTATGTCAAAACTCAACTGATACTTTATTATCCACTCAGATGTATTTCTAAACTCTGTGTAGTTTATTCCATCAATATAAATATAAAAGTACACCAGAAAACAAGCAAGTCTTTAAATAAAAAGTAAAATGACTTCTTACATCTATTAATCCTCTCCTTGGAGTATGCACTGTTATCATAGCAGCACTGTCCAACATGAAGGTAATCTTGTAATTTGCATTTGTACTCACTCCCAGCTCCTATAAATACAAATATTCATGTGGTTAAAATATAATAATGTGGAAAATCCCAGGCTTTATGAAAAGTCCAGCTATAATTTCCCATAATGCCAACTTTCTACCCCCTGGCTACCACACCTTGCTCAACAACTAGCAACATTTTAGTTTCACGAAGCAAAATTGATAAATGATAGTCCAAAAAACCCTAGTCTATTTAGCTCTAAAATGAGGGGCCCTTTTCAATATACTACCAGAAACAGGTTACTTCCCAATTTAATATTTTAGAAGAGCATCACTCCTTTAAGTATCACACACCAGAGAAAAGAAGGAAAAGAAAGTATTAGCGTAAAATGGGAGAAAGAGGAGAGGAAGCTTTGCTGTACTTTTTCTTGAAAAAGACATAGGTAATCAATGCAAACCACCATTAAGCAGACTTTAAACACACCTCTAACTCCTGATACTGGCATTTGTTTTGCTACTAAATGCCCTCCAATGACAATGAAATTAATTCAATTCGGAACTTTCTAAAAAGACAAATGCAGTTTCAAAACGTTCTTAAATGGACTGTTTTCTAACACTTACTTTCATTTTAGCTTCAATCCACTTCATATTTGTTGCAGCTAAAACATGAGGAATGATAACACAATATGTATGAAAAGCTTGAATTTCATTTAAAAAATCTTTCTTCTGTATAAATTAGTTAAGTTTTCTAAGCAAGACTATAAGTTCAAATACAACACAAATAATCCCTAGCATATTTATGGTAAATTCCTTTTAACTGTTTATAAAAATAAACTTATTTTAGTGTGTCTTCAAGACAATAACATTTAAACAACTTTTATCTAAAAGATAAGGTAACCAATGCTCAAAAGAACTCTGAACCTAGGAATTCATAAATCAAGACCTAACCACCCTTTTAAAAACAGCCCTAATACTGTTCTCTATCAGTTCTAAACTTGAATTTAGGGTGCCTGGATCTCCATTTTCTTCTGCGTTCCTACTGCCAGGCAACACACAGGTATATATGTCAATATAAGCAGATTAATGTTATGTGTCAAAAGTTTATGTTGAAGACTGCTAGGCTGAAGACTGTTGAAAAATGCTAAAGAAAATTAGCATTTTGCCAGGCTCAGCAAACTTAGTGCTCATTGAGTCCAGCAGCTTTTAACAAGAAGTCTAGGGCAACTAAATTCACAAACCCTATCTATGTCACGTTCCTGCTCACTGTCACACACCAACCACTTCTGAGAACACTGATAAAAATTCAAACTTCAGTTTTATGTGCCCTACTCATCTCAAGTTATTGGACTAAACTATATAGGTATTACAAAGTAAAATGTTTAAAAATGGAAAAAGGAGTTCAATTATTTAAAGTGTGTATGAGTGTGTGTATATTATGTTAAGGGCAAAGAGGGAGCTGAGTCCTCAAAATAAAAATCTTTAGCACACATACAAGAACCAAAATCACCTTACATGCAAAACTGGTCAGTTGAACTAAAATTTCAGAGAGTGATGTATCTACAATGACAACAATCAGGCGACAGGGAAAAACAATTTTTTTAATTCAATATATATGATGGGACTATAATCCCCACATGAAAAACAGAAAGATTTACAGCTAATAAAAAGAGTTTCTAATTATTAAGAAACTATTACATGTCAGACATGTTACTAGTTGCTATACCAATATTTTATTCTTACAACTACCCTGTAATGTAGATTTATTTATCTTCATTTCTCAGATGAGGAAGCTAAGTCTCAGAGCAATTAACTGACCTGCCTAGTGTCACAAAGTAAGGTCAGAGCCAGGATTAAAACCCTAGTCTATTTAGCTCCAAAATGAGGTGCCCTTCTCAACGTACTACCATGAAATTTATTTTAAAAAAAAATTTATTTTAAGCATATGATTGTAAAATGTCCTCAAAGTCCCTAAGTCTACTCTAATAACATTTAGAGGATAAACTTTTTTCTCAAATGTCATCTCAGATGTCAGAGTTGCTGAACAAAAACCTATTTCCCAGAAAGCTTTCTCCTCTGTATCTTAAAAACCAGAAAATTATGTATTTAACTATGTATTGAATTATAATGGCTATGTACTCATAATAACACTAAACTATTGAGATACTCTGATAATAAAAGAAAATACAAAGGAAATTTGCAAACTGCAGAACAACTATGTGGCCTCTCATCAAAAACCTAGTACGATTACCATCTTTAGGGATTTTATTTAATTCACAATTAGGATAGCTCTTTTCTGCTTATGACATTGCCAAGACGTAACTTTAAATGTCTGTGGGAAGGTGAGATGTAAATCAATACACTCCCCTTCCCGTTTCAGAAGGTCGTACCACAAAAAGATTGTCACCTGAACTAAACAGTGCGTTCAGTAATGTAGTAAATTTACTTTTTGGAGCAAACTCACTGTTACCACAGACCTGTAAGTTCCTGGAATGGCAGACCACAAGTTGAGTAACACTGCTTTAGCCCTGCTAAAGTAACACTGCTTTATTTATTAAATAAATAAAATTTAATAAAAATTTTATTAATTTTCCTTGAGTAAATTCATATTGCCTTTATTTCTGAACTACATCACGGTAAAATTTTTTTAAATACATATCTTTCTCCAAGTGTTTTGAGACTAGAGTGATGAAGAAAGGAGAAAGCAACAATATACTAAAGCATCAAAGATTCTACAGCAAAGATCAGAAAGAAATGATCCTAATCAAGGTGGGGTCTTGTGAAAATAAGGCCATTTTTTTTTCACACCATAATCTACTCTCTTCCTATATTTAATTATTTCAGCGGTATTTGGCAAATGCACATGTTTATATTGTGATGCAAGAAAGTCAAACATGCTTCATCAGAAATTTGCAAAATATAAAATTTAAGTCACATTTTATAAAGCAGAGTAATATAAGGAACAACTTATTTTCATGGAAATCTAAACAAGAAATATAGCTTACACCAAATAACAATGTCATAATCCTCATATGCAGATGTTAGGAATTCATGAAGATATGGCCGCATTAATTCTACCCCAGTCTCTGCACAAGACCTATGGTCTAAAAGAAAATCAGTTAGAGATGATGATTAGTTTATTATCATGGACAAGTACCCAATATCAATTAAACTTCTGAAATGTAATATAAACACTCAAATGCAAACTACTTCAGACTAACTTACATCAGCTGACAAAGGGATGTCTTCAAAACACACAATTCAATATTCTTGCAATCCAATTTTAATTGATCAATTCTGTTCAATTTGCAAAGACCAATATCCAGAATTCAGGCTTATATAATAAACAGTAAATTTTTTTCTCATCTAATCTCTAAAACGTAGATGTTATTTTAGGATATGAAAAACAAACTAGGGCCACATATACTCACTTTTTAGCCATTTACCTACCAAATATAATCATATTTCACCAAAATAACAGGTTTAACTTAATAATCAAATTTTTAAAAAAATTTACGCTAACTTATGACATGTACTTAAAGTTAAGGATTAGAGGTAAATAAATCCATTCTAATATCAGGAGTTAACTAATCATTTCTGGCAATATTAGAGGATGAAAGAACAAATTGCTTTTTTTGTTGACATGAAATTTTAAATTCAAGAATCTGCCTTGGGGCTTCCCTGGTGGCGCAGCGGTTGAGAGTCCGCCTGCTGATGCAGGGGACACGGGTTCGTGCCCTGGTCCGGGAAGACCCCACATGCCGCGGAGCGGCTAGGCCCGAGCCATGGCCACTGAGCCTGCGCGTCCGGAGCCTGTGCTCCACAACGGGAGAGGCCACAACAGTGAGAGGCCCACGTACCGCAAAAAAAAAAAAGAAAAGAATCTGCCTTGAACATAATTAAATAGAAAACCAGGAATAAAATATCAAAAATGATTTTTAAATAATCATAAAATGTTAAGTGTTAATCAATAGGGAATCACTTGATTAAATTATCACACATCCATAAACTAGAAAAGCGCCTGACCAAAAAATACATATATTTAACTCACAATGAATGTTAAATGACTGTGATGTTCAATATATCATTAAGTAAACATAAAAAGGACATACATACAAACACCCTGGAAGATGCACATAAAAATATGAGTGGTCATCTTTGGATCTTGGGATTACGGATGACTTCTTTTTTCCCTTACAATAAAATGATTTACTTTTAAAATAAAAAGAAAAGCTTTCAAATATTTCATATTGCAAGGGAAAAACAAACAAATAAAAGGGGAAAATGCCATTGTGGATAACAGAGATGGAGCACAGTTTTAGGTGACTTACCAAATAACGTATAATCAACATCTAGTACCAAAAGTTTTTTCCCTTCCCTGGGAGGATTCAAAACTTCCACTTTGTACTCTTTTACTCTGCGGGAAATTTTCAGTAGGTTTTCCTCCCTAACGAAAAATAAGATCAGATGAAATATTCACTTTTTCTCAAATTACAACCAATTTCCTTTGATGATGAAAAGTACTCACCTATTTTCTACTTCAACTACTTCATCTTCAATATCAAAGTCGTTAATAACATCATCATTGTCAGGAGGTGGACCTAAGACATCTTCCTATTAAGATGAAAAATAGTTTTGTTTGGCCATATTATCATTAACATAACAAATACATTCATAGCATAAAAAACAAATAAGAGGTACGATTTGAGTCCAAGAGTCTTGCAAGCACACACTACGGGAAAACTTCCACATTTTATATTTCGTTATATATGTTCACTGGGCAGATTTACCATGTTAAATTTGACCATTAGCACTACTACTACACTTACATCTAGCTATACACTAACAAATTTCCCAGTATTTGGTTTCTGCTGAGTTAATAACACATTCATTGTGCAGCTTTTACTTTTCACCGACTGCTAAACTGACAATTTTACCACAATTAAAACTATGATACAACAGTGTGATATAAACCATAATATCTTCAAAGGGACAAATGGTAACAAAAGTAAACATTTACCAAGCTCTCCTCACGAGTTCCCATCATCATGATTTTAGTATTTGGTTTCAGTTTGAGAGCTCCAAGCTTAACATCATTTTCTGCAGGTTTGCCTACAATACAAGCAAATGACTGTTTTCTCACTAAAGTTCAGGTGCTGGTTTCACTATCCCATTACACAAAACCCTAACATTAAAAGGTTTGGTACAGATTCCACAGCAAGTTTTTTTCCTTAAATTAACAAACTGTTACTGCTGAATTAGCAATTTCTAACACACTAAGAAGTAGTAATTAACACAAGGTTGGAATTTTTCCCCAACTCTTAGAGGAACACCTTTAATTCAACTAACTAAACAAAATAAATTCATGTTTTATTCTGTTGTTCAAGATGAAGATGACTGTTTTCCAGAAAGTCCTGAAAATTGAGTGCCTGAGATAACTGTACATTTACTGCTACTCAGAACTCAACATTCAATGATAAGACAAACACCGTGAAAATGCCTTTTAACTGAATGTGAACACTGCCTATAATTTACAAATCATTATTACTTTTGAAACAGAAAAGATAATTTGGGGAGAATAAAAGGCCCAAACTGTAATGAAAAGGCTGTGCTAGAAGACAGATACTAGAAATTACACTGGGGGCTTCCCTGGTAGTCCAGTGGTAAAGAATCTGCCTTACAATGCAGGGGATGCGGGTTCGATCCCTGGTCAGGGAACTAAGATCCCACATGCCGCAGGGCAACTAAGCCCGCGCGCCACAACGACTGAGCTCGTGCGCCTCAACTAGAGCCCGCATGCTACAAACTACAGAGCCCATGCACTCTGGAGTCTGCGCGCCACAACTAAAGAAAACCCGCACACCAAAGCTAGAAAGAAGCCCACACACCACAAAGAAAGATCCCGCATGCCTCAACGAAGATCCCGAGTGCCGCAACTAAGACCAGACCCCGACGCAGCCAAAAAAAATTTAATTAAATAAATAAATAATACATAAGTCTTAAAAAAAAGAAAGAAAGAAAGAAATTACACTGTTTACCTGGGACTTCCGTGTCACAGGTTTAACAAGCAAACATCAACTGTCAGAGGAAATCAAAAGTAATCTTAATAGTGGTGGTATTTTCAGGTATCCTTAAATATTCTTACTTGTACCATCAAAAAAAATTTAGGGATATCCCTATCAAAGAAATCTCCAAGGGGAAAGACTTATTAAAGTGAACAGATAATAGCTAATATAAAGATTCATAAATATATCAATGCAATAAATTTGAAGAAGGGAGAAAATTACCTTTAACTTTGAGTCCAAGTAACTTCTGGCGTTCTGGTAGCACTCCCGTAAGGGTCTTGAGAAACTGTTTGAGATCTAGCACAGTATCATCTTCTGAAAGTGTGGTCACTGAATATTCCTGTCCACCCCATTTTACAATGATAGGAAGAGCCATCCTTGAAACATACGATGAGGCAGCTTTTGTTCAGAAAGATACCTAGAAAGAAAGGCATACACAAGTTAAAACAGATATATCAAAGATGTATGTAAACTTGCAACTTTAAGTTTTATAAACTGTCATTTGAGTCCTATTTTACAACTTGATGATAGAGAAACAGGATTTTCTACTTACAGAAATGTTATCAGAATGCCAAAAGTTATCGGGAGTCAAAGTTAAAATTCTCCCACCCTCTCAATTTTTGGCTTAAAGTTACAACTTCCTAATATTCTATCAGATTCTCCTGGTTCAAGTGGAAAGCTGCAATAAATGAGCTAACTATTCCTCCCTCTCTGATCAGGTTTATGCTACTGGCAAGTTCCTCCATGATGGACCGTCCATGTTCATTTACCATTTGCAAGGTAGGACAATGAGTTGTTAAGAGCATAAACTCTAGAGACAGATTACCTGGGTTCAGAGGTCAGCTCTCCCTCTTATTAGCTATTTAACCTTGGAAAGCTAACTGACTCTTAGTGCCTAGGTTTCCTCATCTGTAAAACAGGGATGCTAATACTGCCTAATTCTCAGGGTTCTTAAGAGGAATAAATTAATTTTTGTAACTCACATACTACCTGGCACATAGTAAGCTCTAAACAAGTAAGTACTGGTTACATAAGTTGTTCTAAAAACTAGAACTGAAGTGTTCCAGGCACTGCGCTAAATAGTAAATGGCCATTATTTGTTTCATATTTAATACACTGGACAGTTTTTACTCAATCTCCTTTAACAAGGTTGTTTGATAAGAACTGTCCCTCTTTTACAATTAAGGAAATAGGGGTTCAGAGAGGTTATGTAATCTGCTCATTGGCACATAGCTGATAACAGAACAAGTCTTCTGACTAAATCTCATTTTCTTCCCTTACACAACTGTCTCTCTTGAATTGCACCTACAGGAGTTAAGGCACCAAATATCAGTAAATACAAAACCTACAGGCACAGATATAAGTACACAAAGGTTATATAGCAGCTGCCACTCATCAACAATAGCATGTAGGTCTCCTCCCCCCATAAAGCTTTCTACCAGTTTTCATAAGTTGGTTCCCCCAACAGGTCAGAGAACTAGATTTTCTAATCTCAAAGTAGTGGTATTTCCAAATGCTGTCATATATTTAATACAACATTTGACTTCACTCTTCAAGTATTACAACCAACTGCAAGAAAGAAGGCAAATTATAAATCTTAACATGCAAACGTAATTTGAAAATTTAAGATGTCTTCAACATGCCCATTAGAAAAAAGCACCGTAAATTCACTTACATTTATTCTATGTTTACAACCTGCTCTACTAAAACTTTAAAGAAGGTGTGTTACTTTAGGGCAATGTATTCTATTTGGAGAGAACTTGCTCTAACAAACCTTATAATCCTCAATAAAAAGCCAAATGGCCCTTTTGAGTCAAACTGAAATATCATTTAAATATTATTTTTCTGAGAGAAGTGGAAATAAAACTGAAAATTTACAAGAGCTAGGAATGCAAATAGCACTAATACAGCATACTGTGCTGGGCAGAGCAGAACATGTGAAGTGAGATCACCTGAACTCTAGGTAAGCATGGACAAGTCACTGCACCTCTAGACCAGTGTTCTCAAAGTGTGGTCCCCAGACCATCCAACAGCATTGACCCCACTTGGTAACTTGTTGGGAATGTAACTGGGTCTGGAGAGAAGAGACCTAGCAATTTGGGTTTTAACAATCTCTGTCTCCCCCTCCCCCCATCTCTGAGGCATGCTAAAGTTTGAGAGCCAGCGCTCTAGGCTCTTCAATTTTCTCAGCCTTAAAAAAAAAATGTGCCAGATGGCATGGGCTCTATATGCTTAGTAAAGCAGTATACAAATATCATCACCCATGCCACAAGTGGGATCTCCAAGTTGACAATTGCTCTAAAGGACCAAGCACAACAAAACAAACACCATAAAAAATTTTACCGCATAAAGTCCTTAAAACTGTTTTTCAGTTACTGAACCTCATTCCTTCAATATTCAGATCATTAACAACAATGGAGCAATGCAATGCAAATGCATGAGTCATTTTATGTTTTCACATTTAGCCTTCTTTCTTACACAATTTTAATGTTTTGTATCACTGCGGACCCTATCAGATTTATAAACTGAAAAATGATTTTAGGGGTAAATTTGGCAATCAAACCCGAACAAGTAAGCAAGGAGCACACCTTTATGGTGAAACTACAGTCAAGAACGGCTGTTTGGGTAAATTCTTCTCCCTAACATACAGTGGTGACTTGCCTAGTCAGGGCAGGAATGTTTACTTGACAAGAATAGTGTTAATCCCTGCGATAACAGCCGTGACATCACTTTGTATACTATAAAAAGCAATACGAATGGTGGTGAAGATAGGAAAATGATAACATGCTCAACAACTTAATTGAATAATCTCATTTAATCTTCACAATCCTAAACTGACAACTACTGTCTTCATTATACAGACCAGAAAATTGAAAAAGAGGAAAAACAAATTGCCCGAGACCACACAACTAAAAAGTAGCAAAGGCGGTTAATTTGAAAGTAACAGCAGCAAAAGTTAACACCTTGGGAATTGAGGGGAGGGAGTTAAATTTAAACACGCCCAGTAAAGGGTAACTGTTGAAGTACTGTCAACTCCTCCTCGGGAGAGCAGGGCAGCAGCAACTGCGAGGGAGTGCAGAGGAAAGAGCTGTGGGAAGTGATTGGTATGAGACAGCACAGAAGGCAGGCAGAGACCCCAAAACCCGAGAGGGCCGGAATCCGTTCAACAGGGAGGAGGGAGAGCCGGACAAACCCCAGAAGAGGGAGGAATAAAGGTTTGGGGACGCAAAATCCACTGAGGCGCCGGAAGCCCTCCACCTAGGCGACGAGGCTGGATGGGAGGGCGTCGGCCCCTGTGAAGAGCCGGCCGGGGCCGGAGGCCTGGGCCGCGAACCTGGGCAGCCGCGGGTGGGGCCCCCACGAGCAGCCACCAGCCCGCCCGCCCGGCCACAGTGGAGGCCGGGTCTCGAGACAGCAAAGCTGTGGTCCCCCAGCCCCACGGCGCGCCGGGGTGCCCCGCGTCCCCTCACCTGGAGCGCGGCGGAACCGGCAGGAGCGGACGCAGGAACCGACCGCAGCGGAATCCAAGGCGACCGGAAGTGAGAGGCGGGGACCGGAACCGGCTAACGAACCGGAAGTTAGGGTTTGAAACGGAAGCGCGCCAGAGAGCGGAAGGTCGCTTCCCTTGTTTCTCTCCGGGCAACGATGTTACATAGACGTTGCCAGGGACTTCCTCACCGCGACGAGGGAACCAGGCCTTTCCGAGAATGTGACCGCTGTACGGATGCCTGCGAGTCTTGGATGGCTTCCGTCCCTCGCCCGTTCTGCGCATGCGTCCGCTGGCGGGTTTTTGAGTTGGGTAGGCCCTGCCGGGGGTATGACGTCTCTGGTATTGTTTCTCCAAAGTCGGAGCTAGGTGTGCTGAGATCTTCCTGGGACTCGGGCCTAAAACTTGTGTGGCTTTTTCATGTTCCGAATGAGGCCTGAAAGGTGATATTTGAGGTCTTGAGACTTGAGAACTCTACCTGGCACCAGGGGCCACCAATTCAGGAGTTTAGAATTCTACCCGTTTTACCCAATGGAAGAGGAAACAGGATCGTCAGGGAAGGGGCAAGCCCAAGTCTCAGAGAACCAAGGAAGCAAATCTCATGAGAGCTGCATCGAGATTACTGTAGTCTTGTATCGAATTAGTCTCCACCCGCCCGTTCCCAGGTCCATTCCATCTTCCTGCAGAATGCTAAGAAAGCCAATTACAAACCCTGACAAAAGAATTCCAGGGTTTAATGGAAATTCGGAGCAGCCGCTGTCTGGTACAGCGAACTCCCAACGTGCATCACTTTATGATAGGCAAGAAAAAGAAGTTAATAATTGCCCACTAGATTGTTGTATGTGGCGGCAAACAAAACTTAGGTTTTGAAAAGGAAGGGAAAGGGAGAAAATAATATTGGCCCCAAGTACGCACTAGGTCCTTGAATTACTTGTATTTTTCCTTCTACTTGACAGCAGTGTTACTGATCCATGTTTCCCTTTTGGCTGTCATGGAATGGAAGCAAAGAGCCAAGTTTTGTGTCTTAACAGTTTTTTAGTTAAGAGACACAAACTATTTTACGTTTTCCTTCCCTCTTTTGGTAATTTTTATTGCGCTAGTAATGTATGAGTATCTGCTCATTTTTAAAAATGAAACGTATTTTCAGTAACAAGTATTCCCGCTATCCTTCAAAAAATGGGAAACGGAAAACCCAAAGTTAAAAGAATTTGTACAAAAGTCACACATTAGCAGTCTAGCCAAAGAGATGGCCAAAAGACAAGGGACTGGACTCCAGAATGAATTTTCTTTCAAACCAATCTTTTTTGCTTTGTTCACGTGCCAAATAGCTTCTTGGCGACTTTATATTCTTGCTGTTGTGGTTAGAGAAACTTGTTTTTGTTAACAGAACGGTGAACTAAAACATTTTTAAGCTTCACTAATTCTAAACAACAGGATACATAAGGAGATTCCTTTTAATCATGGAATAGCCATTGTACAAAGAGTCTGATGATAAGTCTGGTATTACTAGAGTGTGAATAATTTAATAATTACAAATTATCTAGCCAAGTGTTGAACAGTAGTATTTCTCAGAGAATAATGGTAGCAGAGACTTACCAGATGATTTTAAGTTATGCCCAAATCTCAGTTCCTCCAAGTCCATTTCTAGACTTGGTCCATTTACCAGATGATTTTAAGTTATCTTATGCCTATATTTCAGTTCCTCCAAGTCCATTTATATTTAACTAAACATTCATTAAATCAAAAATAATGTTAAGAAAACACTTGGAGTGGATTGAAAGATAACATTGAATAAAAGAACTGGACTCGTGGTAACTAGGAATGTATATAAAGTGGACCTAAAAAGGGGCTCACAGCCACTCACAACTTCCAATAAGAGAAAAATTAAACGTCTGCCTCCTGTTGCTCACTAGAGCCTTTTTCTAATGTGTGGAGGATGATATACTTGTGCTTCACTCATACTTCTCTGCAGCAACTAAAGGTGCCTGGGAATTCCTGCATAGGGTTTTGATAGGTTGTCACGTCTAAGTGATTAAAAGAAATGTGGAACAATTTCAAAAAATCAGATGGTACGGGCTTCCCTGGTGGCGCAGTGGTTGAGAGTCCACCTGCCGATGGGGGGGACACGGGTTCGTGCCCCGGTCCGGGAAGATCCCACATGCCGCAGAGCGGCCGGGCCCGTGAGCCATGGCCGCTGAGCCTGCGCGTCCGGAGCCTGTGCTCCGCAACAGGAGAGACCACAACAGTAAGAGGCCCGCGTACCGCAAAAAAAAAAAAAAAATCAGATGGTAAACTGCTGATACCACTGTGCCCATGTTTGGATTGGAAGACAAAAGGACATTCCTGCACCCCAGACAGAAAGCTACTACCCCTCTGCATGTATCTTCATCTTCCCCTGACTTCTTTACTTCATTCCCTTTCTCAGGCCGTTTTCTTCCTGTCCTTCCAGTTGAAAAACAATCCTCTTTCTAATTTCTTTTTTTTTTATTTAGTGCACTACAGCACTTTGTTTCTCTCTTTTAATGTTTATACCCTTGTTTTTTTCCCTGACTGCAATTAACTAAAAATGTTTAGAATCTACCCCATAGAACAGACTCTGTGGGCCCTTAACTCACCCTGGCCAGTGAACTACTGCCTTTCTCTATTCATCTTGCTTTCCCAAACGACTACTTAAAACGTCAACTCTCTTCCAACCTCAGATCTTCCAGTTTACATCCTTGCTTTTGGCAGATGACATTGTCTCATATTTTGTTAAGAAAATAGAAAGTCTCAAAGAGGAATTGCCTGAACTTCAGACCTCCAAATCTACAAACTAAGTTATATCTGCACTTGTCCTCACTTCTTTTGCTTGTTTCAATGCGGCAATTTCCTTCTACCCGAAGTCAACCCTTATATTTGTGCTCTGGCTCCTTCCCTCTCAGGAAACTTTGTATAAATGCAGTATCCCTCTCTCTTGCTCTTGTATTTTTAACCTCTTTCTTTCTACAGGCTCATTTCCATCAATGATAAACATGCTACAGTATCTTGCCGTCATAACTACTATCCTTTCTTTCACAGTTGGGCATTTCAAAGCATTGTTTGCATTTGTCTAAACTTGACATAATCGGTAATTGTCTATTTCAGACAATTTGTTTAGTGACAATCTTTTACTATACTGTAAGCTTTGTGAGGAAACAGACCATGTCTGCTCTATTCACCACTGTATCCTCAGAGCATAGCATGATGTTGGCTAAAGCAGGTACTCAATACATATGTGCAAATGGATGAATAATGGATGAATAGAATGTAGAGAATAGAGAGATTATATAATAATACATATTATACATATAATAACATCGGTGATTTATAATGATTACAATTTGTAATTGACTCTGGATGTGCGGGAAATTTCTGAAATACACAGCAAATGTTAACAGTTCATGGCACCATAGGATGCACTCAGTAAGTATTTGTTAAATGAATGAAAGAAATTATCTCTCGATGGCATCATAGAGCAGGTGAGTTTCACCTTGTTTATATTTTTCTGTATTTGAATTTTTTACAATAATTTTGCATTCTTTTTCTCTTTTTTTAAAAATAGTACAAGGCGGCTTCCCTGGTGGTGCAGTGGTTAAGAATCCGCCTGCCAATGCAGGGGACACGGGTTCGAGCCCTGGTCCGGGAAGATCCCACATGCCGCAGAGCAACTAAGCCTATGTGCCACAACTCCTGAGCCTGCACTCTAGAGCCCGTGAGCCACAACTACTGAGCACACGTGCCACAACTACTGAAGCCCACGCACCTAGAGCCTGTGCTCCGCAACAAGAGAAGCCACCACAATGAGAAGCCCATGCAGCACAACAAAGGGTAGCCCTCGCTCGCCGCAACTAGAGAAAGCCCGTGCACAGCAACAAAGACCCAACGCAGCCAAAAAATAATAATAACTTAAAAAAAATAGTACAAGACTTCCCTGGTGATGCAGTGGTTAAGACTCCTTGCTTCCATTGCAGAGGGCACAGGTTCAATCCCTGATCGGGGAACTAAAATCCCACATGCTCTGTGGCATGGCCAAAAACAACAACAACAAAAATAGTATAAATATATCCTTACCAGTATTAATTTTTAGGCCTATCCTTGAAAATCTTTTCTGTGCTTTAGATATATACACGTGTATACAGTTTATACATATTTTAAAATAATTATGTATACACAGGAGGTTGCAAAAAGAGATTATGTGTACACTCACTTTTTTCTAATGATCTCATGTCATTATAGTACAATATCAAAACCAGGATATTGACATTGGTACAATGTGTGTGCATATAATTGTATGCCATTTTATCACATGTAGATTCATATAGCTACCACTGCAATCAAGGTACAGACTTCTTCCATCACCACAAAGATACACCTTGTGCTCCCTCTTTATACTCAAGCCCACCCCCATTTCTCTCACCATTCCTAACCCTTTGTCACTAATCTGGTTTCCATCTCTATGATTTCGTCATTTCCAGATGTTATGTAAACGGAAATATATGGTATATGCCTTTTGAGATTGGCCTTTTTCACTCAGAATAAGGCCTGTGAGATTTATTCAAGCTATTGTGTGTATCAGTAGTCCATTTCCTCTTATGGCTGAGAAGGATTCCCTGGTATGGATTTATCACAGTTTGTCTAACCACCTATTGGACATTGTGGTTGTTTCCACTTTTTTTTTTTTTTTTTTATTGCGGTACGCGGGCCTCTCACTGCCGCGGCCTCTCCCGTTGCGGAGCACAGGCTCCAGACGTGCAGGCTTAGCGGCCATGGCTCACGGGCCCAGCCACTCCGTGGCATGTGGGATCCTCCCGGACCGGGGCACGAACCCATGTCCCCTGCATTGGCAGGTGGACTCGCAACCACCGCGCCACCAGGGAAGCCCTGTTTCCACTTTTTGGCTTTTACAAATAAAATAGACCATTTGTATGTAATGCAATTATTGATATTTTAAGGCTTCAGTCGGCCACTTTATTGTTTTCTGGTTTTGGTTTTTCTATTTTCTTTTTCCTGTCTTTCTGTTGGTTACTCAAAGATGAGTTAAGAATTCCATTTTGATTTGTCTGTATTGTTTTAAAG